AGAAAATTTTATTTTGCGATGTGGGATTTCGAACGTGGCGGTTGGCAGGAGGTGCGTGGCTGAGCCCCTCTTGCAGGCGGCCTATGCTCTTCGCAGAGGGAAAATACAGTGTCAGGGTTGAGGGGCCAGCAGGGTGGCGTGAGCGAACGTGTTTCACGGAGGGGGTGCTGGTTTCCAGAGGGAGCAGCTGTGACATTCCTGGGATGCAGCGCATACTGACATGGTGCCCATGGGTGCTGGAAGGGCGCTCGCCCCAGTTTATCTGAACTTGGGTGGGATGGGGGTTGGCCCTTGGGGCAGGTTCCCGGGGGAGAGAGCTGCCTGTGGCAGGGCCCCTGAGAGGGTAGTAGCTTGGGAGGGATCCAGGGCAGAGATGTGACAGGGACAGAAGTCTGTCTGGGTACTGAGTCACGGCTTCTGTGAGAACGAACGGTTTGTCACAGGTCCCCGGATGGTGCATGTGCAGCCAGAGCAGCCAGCGGCCGGGCTAAGCCCCCAAGCCACCATGTTGAGAGACACCCCTCTCGCTGCCACCCTTGCGACTACCTCTTGCTCCTTCACCTCATTCCACGTTTGATGTCCGTGACTCAGACCTCCTGGCTCGACTTCCTGTCTCGGTCGATTTCACTTCCTAGTTCCTGCCTCCTAATACTTCAGAATGAAACTCCTTCCTTAGAAATTAGAAGTGGGGTCGGGGAATCCAGACCGCAGGGGACGTTGGCAGAGTGTGCCATCTGGGTACCAGGGCAGGGTGTGCGTGCCCCTGGCCAGGAGCAGTGGGCACTTCCTCCTGCCTCTTCCGGGGATGGTCCAGGGTGCCCTGTGGGCGATAAGCCCTGAGCCCCAGAGAGGTGGCAGAGATACCTGTGGGATGTCCAGTGGCCCCAGGCCCAGACACCAGGAGTGTCTAGAGCTTTGTCCATTTGCCGAGCGCCTCCTGGCAGCCTAGCGGTGTGGGTGCAGAGACGTGGCCGTTAGTGAGCAGGGAGGCAAAGAAGCTGATCAGGGAGCTGATTTCAGTGCTCTAGAGATGACAAAACCCTGTGACAGCAGGGTGACCGGGAAGGGTGGTCAAGGAAGGCTGCTCTGAGGAGGTATCACTCAGCTGAGCCCAGAGCGAAAAGAGGCAGATCTGTGAAAAAGCCGTGTAAGCAGTGGGGACAGCTGGTGCATGTCCTGGGGCACCTCCCAGGCTGGCATTGCGGGCCAGCACCTGGCATGAGCGAGCGAGGGAGGGGGGTGGGAGGCAGGCCGGCAGGTGGGCGGGGCCGGCCCCACACAGAGGCCTCCAGATTTTATTCCCTGAGCCTCGTTTGGTTCCTCGTGGGAAGATCTGAAGCAGAGGAGTGGCGAGATTGGATTGGCGTCATTAAAAGCTCACTGCGGAGAATGGAAGTCCAGGGCCCCTGGCATGGTTGGGATTTGCTGCCCTCCATGGTCTGGGAGCACAGGCCTGGGACAGGCTCTCCCGAGATGCCTGTCATTCTTGAGTTTCCATGGGTAGGATGGAAAGGCTGAGGGCTAAAGGGACAGGCAGGGCAGTGACCCCAGAGCTGGAGAAATCGGTCATGACCTGGATCTAGCTCCAAAGTTCAACCCAGTTAACTTTCAACCTTCTGGGAGCTGTGGGGACACCTGTGGCAGGTGTTTGTAGGGGAAGCAGGCTGAGAGGAGAGAGGTGGCCAGGATAAGGGTCCCTGGAGCAGCTCAGAGCCACCTGGGGACCCCAAAGCTTTTCCCTAAATGCTGGAGCTCTCTTTGCCCTTGAATAGTCTCAAAACCGAGACTTCCTCTCCAGGCGCTGGGGCCAGCTCTGGCGGTGCTGACGGAGCATGTGGCCCCCTTCCCGCCCTCTCGGACTCGATTTCCCCACAGAGGGCCTGGCCCGTCCAGGTGGCTTGAGGCCGGGTGGGGGCAGACCGCGGGTGGAGCCGGCAGCGGGGGAGTGACAGCAGAGGAGGCTGTTTGCTCCCGTCTGCCGGGCGGAGAAGCCCTGTTTTTCTGAACCCTCTGTTACCGCTGCTGACGCGCCACCGCCAGCTCGGAGGAGGGGAGGGAGAGGGGAGCGGTGCCAAGTCGGCCCGCCCCTTCTGAACCTGGGCCTCTGCCACGCTCCCCCGCCCGTCCTGGCTCCGTCTGGAGGTCACATTCAGCCCTGACGCGGCGTGCTGGGCCAGGCAGCAGGAAGAGCCAGCGAGCCGCCCCTCGAGGCTGCCGGGTGCCGCGGCCCCGTCGGGCTTGGGTCCTTGGCCTTCGCCAGCAGGGGCATCGGGGGTCCGGGGGTGCAAGGCCAGCACCCCTCGCCGAGCCCCCACACCGGGGTCCTTGGTGCCTGGAGGAGCCACGGACACTGTGCGCCCTGGTGACGCCTGGCACGGGCCACCCAGCACACAACTGACAGCTTCCCTCTGCCCGCCCCCATCGGCGAAGGGCACCTCACTCTCCCGCAGCTGCCGGAGTGGGGGACGGCGTCCGTCCGTCCGGGGTGGCAGTGCTGGAGTCCTGGGCCTGGCCGTCAGCAAGGAGCTGCCCCCACCTTCCCCAGAGCCAGCCTCCGCCTGCCTGCTGTCCCTCCCC